ATATTGAGACTGTTGCTTCTAACTAGTAATTACAGGAGGGATCCGTTGACCCTTATATCCCAAGGAATCCCTTGATCGTATCGTCATGCGAGCAGCCCAGTCTCGGACTTGTAAGGTCCGTCAATTATCCCGTTGGCATATAATTAGTTAGGGATCTTCATATCCGTTAGACCGAGGTTGTGACCTTCCTTCAGCTTGTGCGTTTGATAGGATCAGAACGCTCTTCGAGCTATCGGGCCTGCGCCGATAGCTCGGTCTTCGGTTGATCGTCAGAGCCGTAGTTCGCGATAGATCCTACCGGCTAGGGTTGCTCGAGCCGATAGGTCAGGGCCTTGACGATCGGGTCCAGTTAGGTTGCAACCTTCCAACCTGACTAACTGACCCCTCTCGGTGAAACTGATCCTTCTAGGTCGGTTGCATCACGGCCGCGGCTATCGTGCGATTGAACCTTACTTTTGCAATCGCGGCCAGTCCGGCTTCCATGGAATTCCTGATGGTATTTGCTAGTGAATTGTGTGTGCGTTCGAACATACTGGGCTGCGGGCTTCAACCTTCACGGATTATCTCGGTAGTTGACGATATCTCTCTATCGCCCGCTTGGCACCAACAATCTTACTATACCTGCCCCGATGTGAGGGTAGTGATAAAACAGGGGATATTACTGGAGGCTACTACTGGGGATTATTTAGATTATTCCAAGGGGGTTGCTGGACGAGAGAGGCAGCATGATCGGGAGCCAACTGATCAAGATGCCATCTATAGTTCTTGCTATCTCTGATAGTGGCCAAGGTGATTCATTAGAGCAGGACATGGTTAGGCGCCCGGCGCAGAGCTGGAGAGCATTCTTCACAAGGCGAATAGGAGCCTTTCTTTATTATAACAGACTGCTGTAGTAATAAAATAATTTAAAACAGTAAGATTATCTACTTACTTTCTCTCTTTAGAGTATAAACTAGTCTTAATCAGATAAGGCTAACTGAGATAGCTAAGGTAATAATAGTATATATAATCTAGTAGAGCAGAATAATAATAGATCTTAGTCTGAATACTTTATTAGTATTTTAGCTCTCTGATTATAAATAAAGATAAGAGCTGTTCTATATATATTAGATATATATATATTTACTAAGCTAATAAACTGGATAAGTATTATATAGCTATATATTATAAGAGGCTGAAGTGAATTCTAGAGGCTATTTATAGTACTCTATGTAAAGTTCAGAGGCTGGTAGTACTCCTTACCGTCTAGCGTTGTAACTAATGTCCCATTAGCTGAAAAGTTGTTGACTGTGAAATCCATCAACACTTGGATGCCGCCGCGCCCAGTCTTCTTAGTGTTGACCACGCTCCCAATCATCTGTGTTAGGTCGGAGTGCCAGTCATAGTACTGGGTATAAGTATCGACTTGCTGGTGAATGACACGCTCAGTGCCGATAAGGAAGACATTTCCATCGTCAGAGAAGTTGTTGTAGGTAACGCCGACTTGGTTAATACGAGGATTGATTTCAGAGAACGCCAGTAGTTCAACTGTTGCAACTCCCGAGAATTCGCCGTCCAGAGTGTAGTTTCCAGCTGGGAGGTTCGCGGAAGCTGGGATCTCGACGCCAGGAACGTACGGCTTGCCCCAGGGTACAACGTCGGAAGCCATCTCTACTTTGGGTGGCTGGCGGGGCTCACGGCTGGTTAAGGTCGCGACAACTATGCGCTGGCGGATCCCGTCTCGCTCCTTGGAGGGATAGCAAGGTAAGGGGTTGGCGCCGCCACATGCCGGGGAAAATGTCTGTTCCTCCCAATAGGCGATTTTTGTGCCGTCGAATGAGAATCTCGGGTCTGCTCTGCCGTTCCACTCAGGATCGTTATAGTCGCCGCTTCCGGGCTCGCTAGAGCCCTGGTCGTTGATTTTCTGACCGAAATAGCTTCCGCGATCACCATAACGATCAAGAAGGTAAGGTCGAAAGAACCTTCTGCGGCCGTTGTTGCGTACCGAGGATGTCAGGCTCACGCTGACCAAATCGGTGATGGGAGGGATATGGCGCATGCCTGATAGCCAAGTATTGCGGTCGGTTCCTCTGGTATCCATAATAGCGATCCAACCATCGTGTCTTGATATGTCTATTGGATCAACATACTCCGGATGGCTAGTAAGACGGCGCATGCGGCCGGTTGTAAGATGAAAGGCATATGCATCTATATTTGATGATTCTACTGGGTATCCAATGGCTAAGACTTCTTGTCCGTCCCCACTGAAGCCTCGGAACTCACCCAACGAGAGTGCGAAAGGGTTCAAAACGAGCTTATCGCCGTCAACGTCGACAGACGGCTTGCTGTCTCCGCTGGTAAGTACAGTAACGCTAGTAAGATCATAGCGAGGGCCCAATGGGAGGCCGGTTTCTGGAGTCGGGTTGAATGAGAGTCGCGAGAAGAATATGTTCTGACCTAAGACGCCATCATGGAACGAGAAGGCGTTGAAGCCCAGGTGAACATTGTCGGGATGCAGGCGGAGTTCTCGAAGCTCACCTCCAGGCCCTGAACCGTCGGGGTTGGTGTTCCACCGAATGGGATGGATGCTCATGCTCTCTGGAGTACACTCGTCACTCGAAAGGTCATACTCACCGCAGTCCACAATGCGGAGACCGGCAAGGACACGCTTGCCATCGAGGAACGCCTGCGGGTTGTCCCACATACTAGTTCTGTCATGGGACAGGCTACAGGTCAAACACTTCCATGTGTCGCCGTTAGGGAACGTTGTATCGTCTGCCTTGACCATGATGAGCTGTGACCCGTTGTAGATGTTCGCGGGGTGCGGTGCAGCCGGCGCGCCGACGAAATTCACCTCGGCGTAGACATGATTTCCATCGGGAGTGAAGCTGCCTCCCTGGAAGTAAGATGTCACGCCGAGACAACCTGTCTGCCTAGGGTTGGCGGTCTCGTCGCAGGCACCTACGGCAGCGTCATCTGGGATGGCAGGAGGCAGAAGTAGGGTCTTGAGAGCAATGGGCTCGGGCTCTGGAGGCGGAGGTATCTCGTCACTTCTCTTCTGAGGGATAATAGAGGCCGCGGCCACGCCAGCGAGCATAACTTTAATCAATGCGACCTTCATATTGGGGATCAAAGAACTGTTGAGGGCTGAGCATTGATGGAATCTTTCGAATTATATTGTCCCAGAACACAGCGAAACGACTAGTTCTTATACTTGGTGAAAGCTACGGCGTGATCATTTTGGCTCACCATCTGCTTGCCCCTCTTGGCTTGCACCTGCCCGCGGTGCATCTTTCCAATATGCGTTGCTATCTTCTTCGCGACTGAGGTAGGGTCGCAGAAGCACTCATCCCCCGTGGGGCGCAGGTAGAGTCTGTGGCAAAGCGATGGACCCTGGGGTTCTTTACTGTACACCAGGGTAAAACGGCGTCATGAGATCGAATGGGACCAAATGGGGTTGACCGGGGTTAACCGGGGTTGATTGGGGTTGGCTAGGGTCAAGCTGCTATGGTAATTAATGGACCAATGGAAGTAAATTCCGAGGCCGCTTTTGCGTATATTCCGGGATATTGGAACTAGATCTCCCCGCAGAATGGGTCGCGTGGTACTAGGGTTGAAATCATGAGGGAAAACCTGGGGAGGGCAGCCCTGGGAGTTGTGGGGTGGTGGTGGTGGTGGAATGATACGACGACCCTGGGCCACTCGAACCTGAGAGTCTAGAACTGCCCCGAACTGCCCAAGTCTCGCTTCGTTGTCGCTCGCGAGTTTGATTCGGCCCTTGGCGACGACACATGTATAAGTACAACAGCATTCTCTCTCTCTGTTTCTTTCTCCAAGAAAGCCACCGAGACGTGACAAACTCGCTACAATCCTCCTATTGTACCAACATCGTTTCAAGCTTCTACAATGGCGACTTCTAGCAGCCTCAAGCCCACAACTGAGGTGCCCGACAAGCCCGAAATCCACCAAGTCGGCCATGTCGAGTCGATCAAGGATCCCGGGCAAGTTGCTATCGATACGGTAGGAGAGGGTCAAGCAGCCACTGGCTACGAGACCGTCACACTTTGGAACACGGTGAAAACGTTCAAGATCGCCACTGCCTGTTGCTTTGCGGCTGCCTTCAGTGCCGGAGCTGATGGCTACCAAATGGCGTAAGTCTTCTCAATGTTGTCGCACCCTCGTGTAGTTGTGCACGAGGGAGGGTTCATGTAGAATGTTCGCTAACAAAGACGAAATCAGCATGAACGCGAGCATCATCGCCAACAAGGGCTTCGTGCAGCAGTTCGCTACCGATATCACCGCAGACGGAGTCAAGTTCCTTGCCGCCGGTACCATCAGCAGTTGGAGCGCGACCCAGAATTGCGGACAGATCATGGGTCAGATCGGTAGCTCTTTTATCAACGGTCGGTTCGGGCGCAAGGTTGGAATGGCCATTCTCTGGCTGTTCATCATGGGCAGTGTTTTACTAGAAACCTTGGCCAGAGACTGGAAGATGTGGCTCGGAGCCAAGCTACTGGCCGGCATGGGTGTTGGTGCGATGCAGGCTACTATCCTCGGCTATATCAGCGAAATTGCCCCCGTGCGTGTTCGCGGAAGCATGTTGATGCTATATTCGTTCTGGTGGACTCTCGGCTCTTTCTGCACCCACGTCGCTCTGCAGAGGCTCAATCGTCTAGATCCTTTCGACTGGCTCACTCCCGTCTATACACAGTGGGCTCACGTCGGAGTAATGGCCATCATCTACATCTGTCTGCCAGAGTCTCCTGTTTGGTGCGCCAGCGTTGGTAAAGAGGAAAAGGCCAAGAAGTGGCTTAGGCTAATTCACCGCGACGTCGATGGTTACGATGCCGACTACCAGTATCAAGTTTTGATCCTCAATATTGAGCATGAGCGTTCTATTGCCATCAGCCAGCGCAACGAGCATTGGACTGCCATCTTTAAAGGCGTGGATGGGCGCCGCACTATCACAGCGTTATGGACTATTGTCGCGCAGCAATTCCTTGGTCTGGCGTTATTCGGTACCTTTGGCACATACTTCTTCCAGCAAGCTGGTCTAGCGGACCCCTTCCAGATCAAGGCCATCACGACATCTTTGCAGATTGTTACTGTTTTATCCGCTGTGGTGCTAGTGGACAAACTCGGTCGAAGGCTGATGGCGTGTTACTCGACGACTTTGATGTGGGTTGCTACTCTAGTGGTCGGTATTCTCGGCGTGGCACCCCAAAGTAATGCGACAACCTATATCTTTGTGCTCTTTGCCTGTCTCTGGAGTAAGTTGACCCCCCATGTTTCACCACTGGCGAGGCTTGTTTATTGACGTCGATGGTATCTCTTTAGATGTCGGAATTTCTGCCAATGGCGCTGCTGGCTGGGGTTACATTGGAGAGATTTCGTCACAGCGTCTGCGTCCATACACGTCTGGGTTTGCCGCCTCCGCCAATTCTGTAAGCGGTCTTATCATGTCTGTTCTAACCCCCTATATGGTCAACAACCAGAAATGGAACTGGGGCTACAAGACGGGCTTTTTTTATACTGGCGTCGGTCTGATCTGGGTTGTTGGAATCTGGTATATTATTCCGGAAACTGCTGGGTTAGTAAATTGTCTTGACCGAGTCGCTGCTATATTGACTGAATCACTACTGATCATTCGACTAGACGCTCCGCCGCTGAATTGGACGAGCTGTTTGAGCGCAAGATTAAGGCCTGGCGCTTCAAGAACACCGAGACTGTCACCCAGCGTATCGTCAGAGCCGAGAAAGAGAAATCAAGCCCCCAGGAGGCGTAGATCGCACCATGTTGTACCTGTCGCCCAATAAGTTATTATTCACTTTGCGTTGAATTTTATTTGGAGAGAAAGTGTGGATCAGAAAGATATGGAATAAATAGTAGCGTATATACTATTTCGTCCGAGATCATTCGTCGATAGCTTCTGCTTTTTCAAAGAGAATTGGCACTTAGGTTCGGGATACAGGGGGATGTCCGGCTAGCTGTACTTGATATTTTATGCTTTTCAGGCAAAGGTCTTTAGCTAAGAAGAACTCTGCTCTTAATAGCACTTATCTATACTCTGAGCTGTACTGATGTACTACTTGACTTTATCTCATGCTACACCTCCATTCATATATGTACCGGTATTGATATAGGAGCCACCTCAGGAAAGGATAAATTTGGCCATATTTGCTAAGCTTTCAGCTGATTAGTCACTACTACTAGTTGTATGAGATAGGGAGTTTGTAATGAAGCTTCTCCAACTAACATTTGTATTTACGAGTGCCCTCCAAAGAACATCATTTGTCTGTTCAACTATTTATCGCTCACGGAGTTTTTTCTTCTCGCTGGTCATCCAAGGTCTACTGATATTACAGTAAGTGAGCTTTATTTTAAGGACATAAATATCTCTCTGCTTTATAATTAACTCCTTACACTATTATACTACTCGTAGTACTGTTTATCACCCCTCCTACCAGGGTAACGAGGGAGAAGAATATAAGGGCACGCTCGTGATAATAGCGTGGCATTAACGGCACATATATCTGAGACGGTGATAAAACACACTAAGTAATCTAAACCATTATCCTGATTACATGGTTTCTTCTAATTAACCTCGCGATTGAACTAGTTCCTTGTGCTCTAGGGTACAATATCTTATGATAATTATATGAGTCGAGAAAGCGGGCAACTGGTGGATTGCGCTGCATAATATTGTCGGTACTGTTCTTTCCCTCAAGCGATGTTATTGGCTACCGTAGACTCGAGTGGGTTTAATGGGGCTGCGCGTATCCGTATTGTTATTGGCACGGAATTATTGAGATATATTCCAGAGCTCCAGCCTGCCAACCCCAACTGCCCCATCAATGCATTTCCCTCTTTTTCCGCCATCGAAAATCCCTGCTCAACCCTCTCTCTCCCGGTGAGACCTTCTGATGGACTCGCTAAAACGGCGAGGCCCGCGTCGATGCCTGTATGTGACACGAGCTTGTGGTACGTTTGGACCCCACAACTTCTTGGCTATGCCTGCAGTGGCTCATCATGTGCATGTTTCCAGACTCCTGCAAAAGGCGTAAAGTAAAATGCGATGGCGAGCAGCCGTGCGCAAGTTGCCGTATTTCGGAAACTGCTTGTTGCTACACTGTAGTGCCGCAAAAGCGGGGAAGGGTTCCCAGACCAGCGGTACCTCCACCGTCCTGGTCGCCTGTCACCACTCCTAAGAGGAGCGATCAGGAATTTGCTGGTCCGAGCCCGAGTCCGAGTCCGAGTCCGCGGGTCGAGCTCAACGCGCCATGCACTTCGGCGACAGCCTCGGATCATCAGAGCCCGACCTTGACACATGGCGCTTCACCCAGCACCACTTTCTCTTCCGCGGTCTATGAGCCTGACGCTGAACACATTCGTCAGGGTTTCGCTGAGGATGTTTCTAGGCTGATGATGATTGGGACAGTTGATCAGCTTGTTAGCCACTGCATTGACCTATTTATGCAGTACATATTTCCCAACACGCCGGTGTGCCATGAACCCATGCTCCGCGCTGGTGCTGCCACCTTTAAGCACCTAGATTCGGCTACCACCCTGCAGCCAACTTATGCAAGGACCTTCACGCTGGTCACTGCCCTTTGCGCCCTAGTGCTTGCAGTCGCCCCGGATTTTGGCTTCCCCGAGAGAGCCAGACTGACTATGGTATTTTTACGGGCATCTCGAGCCATGCTCATGACCTATATTGAGCACGATTTAGAGCACCCTGACTGGACTAGCTTGATTATACGGGTATGGCATTCTTCCGCAACTCAAAATGTAACAGGGCGGAATGGTGCAGCATTTCATTACTATAATGAAGCTTCTACACTGGCACTCCGTCTTCGTCTGTATCAGGAAGAGTCCATCATCGGCAAACCCCCACTTGAGGCCCAGTTACTGCGGTCCAACTTTTGGCAGCTGTACCTTTCCGACAAGTCCGCGACAGTCTTCGACGACCGAAAGTGCTTTGTCACCGAGCATGTGTTCCCAGGACAGCTGACCCTACTCGAGCGAAGCTCTCCCGAGACTCCGTTACTTGATATAACGAGGAGGCAGTTTTCCCCGCTCCTTGAAAGCCGATTCCACGAGGGTCACCTTCTCAAGCGGCAAATCTGGAGAGACGGAGCCAATCTGATCACCGCCATCAAAGCACTCAAAGGCGACTCGAATGAAGACCACCTGACCGGCTTATTCTTGCGCTTTACAGGGCTTATCGACAGCTTTCCTCGCTGGCTATGGAACCCAGAACATTACTTGAATGGAAGCTATGACGCCGATATTTCTAATCATCATAGGACGTGCTTCTGGGTGCAGCGGAGCAGTATCATAATGCCTTTTCACACGATAAAATTAACTATACTTGAAACGTGCATCGAATCCAAGGTCCCTGGTGTGATGGGACTCGATCATAAACAGCTGTCATGGCATCAGAGGAAGATGGACATCAGCCGAGACTTCCTGTCGGAGCTGGAGATGGTGCCCTTTATTTGTCTGAAAATGCAAGGAGAGCCCACGGTATGTCCCCATAAACCCGATAGCCTTATATTATACGATGACTGAATGGACGGCCTGCCGCATCCCTACCAGGTGCAAAGAGTACGGAAAGTTGGCACGGGGCTTCTTGAAATCATTCAGAATGCCACCGATGAGGACTTGAAAACTCGGGCGCAGGCACAGCTAAGGCAGCTTTTAGAAACGCTGGCCAGGCTCGATTCCCGAGCGTCTGACGAGCCTCGATACAGGGATCTTGGGTGATAAATTCCGCCGGAACAATGCGCTCTATCCACTTGGTGTAGAGCACATAGCACTGGAATTTTATACCTTTGGTACGTAGTATATGCCAATCTTTGTGGAGCATACGAAGAATAATCCGAGGCGCAATTCATTACGTATCGATCGCTGTGATGAGAATATTAGTACTTAGTACCTTATAACTAGCAGCCTTCTATATGATCCAATTATTTGCAAAACCTCGATACTATTTCAAGCATCACCATTCTCTTTTCACACCTCATAAGAAAAGCTCTTGTTTTTCTTTGCTCGGTGGGCCTTGCGGATTAGCTCTTTTTCTTTCTACTTACCTAGTTACTCCTTCACCATGGTCGCACAGGCGTCCTTGAACCCGATCATACCCGGCTTTGCGCCCGATCCATCGGCCACGTTTGTTGACGGCTGGTGCTTCGTTGTTAACTCATCGTTTCACCTCTTCCCCGGTCTTCCCATCTATGCCTCTCAAGAGCTTTCTAGTTGGAAGCACATTGGTCGGTGCTCACTCATGACCACCACAAAAATCAGGATTGCACATTGCTAACCACTGCTCCACTCATAGGAAATGCCATAAATCGACAAAGTCAACTTAGTCTTCTCAAGTCAAGAACAAACCTCGGCAGCCCGGCCCCAAACACTGGAGGCCGTACATTACCCGCCACTGGCGGCCTTTATGCTCCGACCATTCGCTACCACGACGGTACCTTCTATATTGTTTGTACGAATGCCAGCCGAGATCCGAGCGATACCACGGCCAAGAAGGAGAACTTCATCCTTTCGACCAAGGACATATGGAAAAGCATGTGGAGCGATCCAGTGTATTTCGATTTTGATGGCATCGACCCTAGTATCACGTTTGACAATGGCAAAGTCTTTATCCAAGGTTCAGCAGCTCCAGGCCCAGCCACCCGCATCAACAACTTTCAGATCGACATTGAAACTGGCCAAAGGCTGTCGCCAGAGCGCTGTATCTGGACAGGTATGGGTGGCGTCTACCCCGAGGGGCCTCATGTATTCAAATGGGACGGATGGTTTTACCTGATCATTGCCGAGGGAGGTACTCACGTGTCCCACTCCGTGACAGCGGCACGGGCGAAGGACATTTGGGGTCCGTACCAGCCTGCGCCGAACAACCCCATCTTGACAGCATACGGGACCGACGAGTATATCCAGCATACAGGCCACAGCGATGTATTCCAAGATGTACATGGCCATTGGTGGGCTGTGTGTCTAGCTGTACGCAAGAGTGAAGAGAGATATGTTCTCAGTAGGGAAACATTCTTGACGCCGGCCCGGTGGCAAGATGGATGGCTGCACATGGAGCCCGTCAAGTCTGACGTCAAGAACCATGCTGGCGTGAAACTCCCAGCCCTCACTACATCAACTTCACCTGAGGTCGACTATCTCTATGTTCGGGATGCAGAGCTCGATCGGTATCGTTTCGACCATGGTAGTGGAACTGTCACACTGGCACCATCGTCGACTGATCTCTCTTCGCCCACGTTATCCCCTACCTTTGTTGCTAAGAGACAGAGGGTTTTAGAAGGCCGTGCTACTGCCACGGTTTCGCATTTTGATAGCTTGTGGGGTGAAGCCAAGGTGAAGTTTGGACTTGCTTGTTACAAAGACGAGCACCGATTGTTTCGTATTTACTTTGACACGGCGGACTCAACTCTAGTCTTTGATATCGTTAACAAGGCCCAAAATATTAGCCGAACCACTCGTCTGGCTTTGAACGGTATCAAGGCATTATCTTTTAGTATAATATATACTGAAATGGGGTATACACTGCAATATGGGGCCGAACCAGGCTCGCCGTCGATGGAGACTCTGGCCACGGTAGACACTTTAGAGATAACTGACCCGGATTTCGTCGGGCCTATTATTGGTCTCTTTTCTACTGCGAATATAGAAGGACAGCAGGTTATATTTGAAAACTTCTTAGTCGAGTAGAAATATAATATATAAAGTGATATTTTTTCAATACAGTAATTTGTTAGGTGCTAGCAGCTTCTATTACTATTTAGCTTTATTCTCTTTTCTCTTATATATAAAGTAATATTTAGCAGTAAGATAGTTTAATATATTTATTACTTTGTTAAATTAAGAGACTATAGCCACTATAAGTAAGTAGTTATAATTACTAACTGCTAGCGGATATAACTATTAGCTATTAGCTATACTTCCTATCGCCGCCGACTATATTATATAACTAGCGAATTATACTAGAAGCTCCTTGCTTATAGCTACAGTTTAGTTACTATAGGGCTAGAATACAAACTACTAATACTTATCCTCGTAAAATAATATCTAATATCTAACCTGTACTCCTACTTATCCGTACTATTATTACTATAAGTACCTAGTAATTATACCTGGAAATCCTACTTTATATCTTTTCTAATAGTAGCTCTACTATACTAGGTAAGCTCCAGGATATATATAGTACTAACTTTCCAGTCTATATAACTATCTTTAATTCTTATTCTAGTATTAAAAACCCTACCTCTGATCTAAATACTATTATATCTAGTATAAGTTCTCTAATTAAGATTATTATATACCCTATTTACTTACTCCTAGTAGTATTTTACTCTATTTACTTTATTAGCTATAAAGATAGTTTTATATATTACCTCTGGATTTATAATAAGATTATAAGTAAGATTAGGTAGATATATATATATAGTAATACTAACTGGATTATTAATTCCTATACTATAGTAAAGTATACTATAATAGTAAAAGAAAAAGAATATTATATTAGATTTAAGAAATTCCTTATTATAAAGTATATTATATATATAAGAGATAATAAAGAATAGTATTAGAAAATTACTAGAAAGACTTAGAAAAGCTAAAAGTTTCTAGTATATTCTTAATATTTATATTTACTAAGTAATAGTTAACTACTAACTAGTTTTCAGAATAGATCTTATAGATTTATATTTTTAATATCCCTAGTCTTAACTTAACTTATATAGAGTAAGAGATAAGAAATTAATAAATATATCTATTCTAATAACTATACTAGATTATAATTATAATTATCTAATAAATATTATATTCCCTTCAGACTATATCTATAAAACCTCTTATTAGTATAATATAACTTAATAATCTGCTCCTCTTAATTATATAATTCTTATTAATATATATAGTCTAAGCTAACCCTTAGTTAGTAGCTTTATAGATCTTATATAACTAAATAAAATAATAAGGTTTAGTACTTATAGATCCTTCTATAAATTTATACTCTCTATTATCTTTAATATTCTCTTTTATTTCTTAGTATTTAGCTTATACTATTAGATTATACTATTATATTAAGGGAAATCTTTCTTTTCCTATACTAAGATATTCTTTTTAAGCTTAATTTAGTACTATAGTAGATCTAGATCCTTAGATATATAGTTTATAATATAATCTTTAATTTATATTCTACTAGCCCTATTCAGATCTTTACTCTTAGTAAAGAAGATACTATATAATAACTTTTCTAATTCCTCTACCTCCTTAAGAGCTTTTATTATACTACCTATAGCTCTACTCTTACTATATCCTTAAGGCTTTATCTACTTATTTACTTTTTTCTAATTAAGCTAATATTCTATATTATTATATATAGAGCTTCTATTAGGATCTTTCTTATAGTAGATATATAGATAATAAAATAAGTAAGTAATATCTTTATAGATCTCCAGTTTATATATATTAAAGCTCTTTTTCTTAAGCTTATCTAACTATAGTATAAAGAAGTATATTTTAAGCTCCTTAATATCTACTTTAGAATTCTTAAGTTATAATTAACTCTCTTATCTAGATATTAGTCTTTAATTCTAAAGCTAGGTATAATTATAATTAAATTCTAAATCTAAAGCCTTTAGATATAGCTTAGGTATAGAGTTAGATATAATAGGTAGTTCCTTAATAGATAGTTCTACCTTAGCTCGTTTTATAGGTATAGGCCCTAAAGATAGCTCAGATTATTCTAATAGCCTCTTATACTATTAAGATAATAACTAGATAGAGGTTATATCTTTCTTATTATTATTACTAGTTAGGTTTAAAAATAAAGTTTATAGTATTTTAAGTATATTTAGTTTAGACTAAATAAGATTAGTTCAGTTTAAAACTATATATTATAATAACTATATAATATAAATATTTAAAGTATTAATTATATACTAGTTATATTTATCTTATATCTATATAATATTATCAGGGGCTAAAGACTAATATATATACTTATAAGCTACCTTAGAATAAAACTTTACTTTCTAAATACCTAGATTAAAACTAGCTCCTAATAAGCTTATTAATATCTATCTACCTTATAGAGATTCAGACTTATCTTAATAATAGTTTTACTATTAGAGAGATAATCCAGGGTTTAGAAATATAACTCTCTTTATAGGGGTATTAGGGATTAGTAAATTAAGAAGTAATATACAGAGAAAATAGAACAGGGCGCCTATATATAATTAATAAGGTTATATTTATTCCGGGAAGAGTATTCAGTATATACTCTTTTTCAACCTAAGAAAGTAAAATATAATTAGTTCTCAGGGAAGCAGCTATACTATCTATTAACAGTAGTATATACTGCTAGGAAGAGAAGAGTTAGTAAAAGTTATTTAAATTACTACTAAACTATCTATCTTTACTTTAATATATTAATAATCTAAAGTCTATTCTAGAAAGATAAGCAGATTACTTAGGCTGTATTATTATACTTATACTATAGTCTTAGAATATAGTTAGGATTATTATCCCTGATAACTAATCTCTTAGGGCTTAATAAAGATAACCTTAAGTATTACTTATATAATTATAGATAGATCAAGATCCAGCTGCTTAATAATAAAGTCTATAGTACAATCCTTAAGATATAGAGAGCTATATATTAATTAGGAAAAGTTAGTTCTAGGTATTAGGATATACTATAGCCTTATACTATTCTATATAATAAACCTATTAGTAATTAGATTATAAATTCTTATCTAGAGAGAGTATATAATAGTATAGGAGTTACTATTAGAATTTATAGATTTATTAACTATACTCTTTATATTAAATTTATAATTTTAAGAATTAGATATAATACTATCTATAGCTCTATTATTAGTATTATAGAATAGATAGTATACTATTTAAAGGTATTAAAGATATAAACCAGGATAATATCTCCCTCTAAGATTATAACTATATATAGCTATAGGCCTATAGTTATAAATCTATTCTAGTTAATAGTAGGAGTAAGGGTAAGAATACTATTTAAAATTATTAGTATATCCTTAGATCTTTATTATTATTACGCTTAAAACTAGCTGTAACCAGCTTAGGCATTATAGATAGGTTCTTAGTTATTAACTATAGGGTAGCTATAGTTAGATAGCTTGTAGTTAAAGCCTAGTTTTATAATACCTTTACTTATATATAAGATAATATAATTCTTAAGGCTTGAGTTCTTTCTATCTACTGGCTGTTTATAGCTCTTTTATAGGGGGCTCTATACAGCCCCTGTTTATAGTATAATAATTATCTAGTATAGCCTACTGCTCTCTAATTAAGTATATATTATAATATAAGTAATTAGCTAGCTTACTATAGAACCTCTTAGTAATTATCTTACTTATAATATCTATATAATATAGATATAGGGATATAAAGTTAGCTATTAATTAGGAGCTTCTAATAAGCTCTAGTCTATTAAGAGCTAATAAGCTAGTATCTATTAAGGCTATATATTTACTAGTAACTATACGACTGAGTATTATTAAAAAGCCTGCTAGTAATAAACCTAGTACCTCTACTTACTTATAACTATCTATCCGGTTATTAATATCTAGCAGCAGCTAAACCTAGATATATATCCTATTACTAGCTGAGTTATAAGAGATACCTTAATATTATAGAAACTAATAACTAGTCTACTTAATATCTTATAGTCTTATAACAGTTAGATAACTTATACTAAATAGGGTCTAGAGTAGATTAGAATTAAACTAATTAGAGTATTATTCTAAGTAGTATAATTAGATTATCTTAGACTATATAATATAAATTACTATTAATATATAAGTATTATAGAGCTAGTAATAATAGATATATAGATAATTATATTAATAACTATCTAAGAGAGTATTTTATCTAGTAAATAAATATATATATATACTAAGTAACTTATAAAGGTTTACTAGTAATCCAGAGTAAGTTAGAATAAGAATTATAAAAGCTTATTAGTAATCTAGAGTAATCCTTCTTTTATTAGTATAAAAAAGTAGGGGTATAATATATAATACCAGGGGTATTTCTTTATTTATAATATATTACTCTCTTTCTATTAGTTTTATTCTAAGACTAAGTTTTATAATCTAGTATTTTAATAAGTAATTTCTTTATTCTTTAATTATTCTTTCTATATTATTAATAATATTATAATCTATTTCTAAGAAATTCTAATAATATAGAATTCTTATATTATTAATTAAAAAAATAAGTATTAAAATAATATCTTACTTAAACTACTTTAGATATAAGAAGATATATTATATAGTTAAAATATTATTATACTATAGTAAGTATATATATATAGAATAGTTATATAATAGTATAGAAATAGTATTATAATATATATCTTCCCTTAGTTTATATATATACTATTACTAACTTTTATAGTAAAATAATTAGTTATAGAGCAGTATTAATTAGATATTAAGTTAGCTTTCTCTAAGATAATATTTTAGGAGGTTTTAGTAAAGATCTTATATCTCTATTATTAGTATTAGATAGTATAGGAAAAATCCTAATATTTATTTTATTAGGGTATTAAAGATCTAGATAAGTAGAATAGAGTTTATTTCTAAGAGGAGTTTATTTTAAAGAAACAGTAGATTATAAATATAGTATAATCCCTAGATACTATAGAAATTATTAATTAGACTTTAATT